GTGTGAAATACCAAAAAGGATAAATCTTGGGCCAGGTCTTTTTCACTATTTCAAAGAGTCAATTAGAAGCATCTATGTATAAGACTGGTGGGGCTTAAATACTATTAATTGGCAATATTTTCTGCATATAATTATAAAAAACTAGTTTTGTCCCGTGCATTTGCACGGAAAACTATATGATACATGAAAAAAAATAAAAATTATAAACAATAGTAAAAATCATAACAAAATCATTGAAAAAAATTAAGAAAAAAAATATAAATATTCTTAAACACTTCTTTATAGAACAACGCCGTGGTTTTTTTATCGTCAAAATCTCCTTCAGCTCAAATCAAAATCTTCAAACCCCACTGACTTGTAACTCTAAAAAGCGCCACGTATAATTGCTCATGACTAAATGCAGAGCTCTTCAGTAGTAAGCCGACGTGCGACAGAGACTGTCTTTGACTCTTATTGATCATGTCATAGCATAGGAAACACTTCTTTATATTGTTTGTCCTTGACTCTTATTGATTGATAGAGATTGTCCTTGCTTCTTAATAAAAAAAATACCATCTAAATATAAATGAGTAAATATAATATTAATTTTTTATATAAACAAAAAATTTAAAGTAATTGATAATGAGTATAGAATTACCCTTGCGGATTCAAGTTATTTCAACGATGTTCTTTTTATATATCTAAGATTTAATTTTTTTTTTCTGATTTATATGAATATAAGTACATTTAACTAATTTTTATAAAATTTATTGAAAAAAGTTACTATTTTTTTGAAAAACTGATAAGATATTAAGATAATATTGTACTTAACATAAATGTGAGATTAATTAAAATAAATCTTTTTAATTTAATCATTAACTAATTAAATTTAATTATAAGAAACCTTCTTAAATGTGAAATTAATGAGTAATTAATTAAAAAAATGTAACTCATTTTGGAGGGAAAGTGAAAATATTTTTATTAAATGTTTTATTAAATGAGATTAGCTAGCAATTATATATATATAGATAATGACATTTAAATATTACAAAAAGTTAGCCAATCTCGTATTGGTGGTGGGGCTTAAATACAATTAATTGGCAATATTTTCTGCATATAATTAATTAATCATTACAAAAATGATATTTAAATATTACCAAAAGTTCGCCAATCTCATATAGGATGGTTGATATATATAAATATTATTCGAATCGAGTTGTCCGCGAAAATAACTCGGTTTGCTTGTCAAAGATTGAGCTGGCTAGTGCTTTTACTAAAATGAGTCAAACACGAACTATTTGAACTCGTTTATTGAACAAGACGAACCAAACTAAGCTCTTTCATGAATAAATTAATTATTTATATTTTATTTGTCATAGGGTCTGAAGGAATAGTCGAGGCAAACAAGTTCGTAAACACAAAAATTATGTTAGCGGACAACTTAGTTTTAATATTTTGAATTGTTAAACAAGTCGAACCCAGTCGAATAAACATTTGATTTAGTTAAACAAACAAGCCGAGCTGAATCAAACTTATTTATTAAGCACCCCTAATAGCTGATTATTTAAAGAAAAAATGTAATTTGTTCCTTGCATGCATTGGCTAAAGAAAAGGGGAAAAAAAATTAAAATGTGACTAAATTAAGTTTTGTTGGCTATACTCCTCGAATTAATTCTTTGGCCCACCAATTGATGTCCGTACTAGGCGAGAACAAGAAAGACCAAGGAAGGAAGATAGATTAGAACTCATGAAAGACTATATAATAAGTTCAAGCTTATCTAGTTCAATAGTCATTTCTCATGAAGATAATTAAGTTAGCTAACTATAATAAAGG